GTCTTACACTTGCTAAATTAGGGACGGCTAGCGCAGATAGCCCTCGTGTAGCTTTGCGCGAAATTCAAAAACAAACAAAGCAAGCGTGGGCTAAGCGACCCGGATCAGGTAAAGTCGTTTCTAATTTTCAATTACTGATGTAGGGAGAAGCATCCAATGAGCAGCACCCGCCGTCACAAGGCTCTGTTCGTCTCCTCGAGATGGATAAAGGATTTGACTGTCGCTTTTGTAACGCGCCTACAGTGGAACGTGCTCGTTAGTATCACGCGTCAAACCCCGTCTTTCAGATCACGTTAATGGTTAGTGGCGCAGCAAGGAGGAAAGAATGGAAATTATAATTTTTATGATTTTTTTTCCGGCATTGTGTTAGTGACTTTTTGTGTGAAATTTTTAACAACGAATTATTTTACGATAAACTTTTCGTGTAAAAACTGAGGATCAGGTGAGGCAGCGTTTCATTTTGACATAAAACAGGTTTATCAGAATATACTGATCTCGATGACTAATAAAAACGACGCCTACAATACGCGCGTTTTCTCATTATTGAGGTTATTGAGAGAAATATACTTCAAAGAAATGACGGTTTTGCGCGAATTCCGGTGAAATAAGGGCGTTTCCATGACGACGTTCCCAGCAAACTAATCATGACCTTTCTGCTCCTTCCTGCGAATACTTGGATAAAAAACAAAGGTTCATATTGCTTTCCGAGAAAGTGATAATACTTTTTTTCCCGCTATTTCACATTTTCAATGATATATGTTTCAAAGTATTCCAAACATGAAAATTGAAGAAAAAAACATTTCTTTAAAATCATTTATTTTCAGACAGTTTACTACCCATTTATTTAAATAAGATAAATTTTACTATATTTGATATTTCGTGTGCAAAAGTAATTAGCGACATATTACAGCTGTTTTGTACTAGACACAACACTACCTATTTTTTTCTCATATACAGTAACTTGTTCATACAAAAGAGAGAGTTTATTTGTTTATTTTAGAGCAAAGCTACGCTGGGTTATCTGCTGTGTCCATCGCGGGAATCTAACCTCTGATTTTATCCGTCAAATTACCTCTGTCTCACCAAGGGATGAAACGAGGGAGAGAATGGTATAAATTAAAACTTTCTTACTTTCTGATTAGGTGGATTCTGATCGTAAACTTTCTTAATCACTGATTAGGTGGATTCTGATCGTTGCAATACGGTATGAGATGGTAAACCAATATTTCTTAAGCCATATATGCTGAATAACATGTTCAGTAATACCTACGACAAACATCGTGTCTACTACATATTTCTAAATAAAACTATATACATAGCGAAATGTTACGGCTTGTACACGTAATTGTTTTTCTAAATTCGTGCAAGTTTTGAAAACGTTAAATCTAGAGAAGTAACTTTTTATTTCACTTTAGTATATATCAATCCTTATGTTGCATAGTTTTTACGATGGACACGGTAGATGGCCCAATGCTCTAAAACAAACAAACAAATAAAGCATAGTTTTGATTTCTAGCAATAATAATTTAGGAGTATTTTGTTTAGAAGTTACAGTTACCTTATGTTAGGATTAATCGCTTCATTTGTCTGAAAATTGGATTTAATGAGGTTTAAAAATATAAACCATTTACTATTTGAGACTGACCTAAATATATGTATTGCTGTAATGGATTGTATTGGATAGAAAGTATACTTGAACACACCCAATACTCAGTTTTTAATAACCTTTTGTAAAATATAAAATGCATTTCAATATACCAATGATACTTACGTATTAACAATTTTTTTATTTTTGTTCCCATTTCCATCTCACATTAACATTTTTTATTGCCCTTCAATGGATAAGCGGAAAGTGTGGGGGATTATAAGATTAAAAATTGAGATTATGTCTCCTTCGTGGTGGACATAATGCAAGTAATCCATTGTGTAGCTTTGCGCTTAGCAAACAAACAAATCTGTTCTATATTTATCAGCATATAATTTCCCCTAAAGGGAGCCAAAGGCCGCCTGGAGGGATCACCTGTTATAACCATTCACACCACTATACAGTAGTGTGTTGTTAGAAGACACTAAAATGACGTCACATAAGAGACGATTAACGCTACAATTTGTACTGTAGTGACGTCAGTAAAACATGCGCATGCCATGAATTACAAGAAGAAAATATGTACTCTGTAGGCTACAACACAGCATGACATATCAACTTCAAAAGCAAGAAATGAAAATATTTGTTAGTCTTAATTTTGTTTTTATTTACTCTTGAAACAGAACACTTTTGGGGATTCTGCAGAAGCGTATCTATTACAATAAAGATTAAAATACGCTCAAATAAATCTAACAACTAATGAATTAATATGAACTGTAATTTTATTTCGATTAATAATTGAAAATGTCAAGACATGAACTTAAAAAACAACCACTATCATAATTTACTTTGTACTTTAATTTTATGAGAAAAGTGTTAAAATTATATCACTAAATAATAGTTATTATTTCAACATGTTTGGAGGTTTTAAGTTACAGAATAAAAAGGTTACGGTTTATTAATCAGATTTTTCCAAAATTTATTTTTTTATAGTAGTTTTCGACGAAGAACTATTGGACTTGGAATGACTGGATATTGTACCAGTGATAGTACTCTTGGTTAGGTAGTTAACTTTATTCCTTACGACCTGGATACGCATATCTGTAAATGATTGATATAAAAACAAAAGACTGAGAGCGATCCCCCAACTTGCACCATTAAAATGTGTTTGTGATAGCAAAGCCACATCGGGCTATTCGCTGTGTCCACCGAGGGGAATCGAACCCCTAATTTTAGCGTTGTAAATCCGAAGACTTACCGCTGGCCCATCGGGAGACTTTTACAAACCTCGATAAACAAGATGTGATGTAGATAAGTTTTTAAATACTTTATTTATTTTTGTTGTTGTTGTTGCCATAAAATATCCTAGTTCTAGAAAAGCCAAAGTTAACTGTTTTATGTGCAGGAAAAGTTGAAGAAAATAATGAACTTATTCTATACGATTAAAATATTATCTGAGCTAAAATTATCACTATCGCAAATAATGTAATGGAAACTAATGCAGGAAGCCAAATTAGGAATTTGTGATATTTCAGAGCCGAATTTTGAGTATTGTTACGACAGCGGAAGTCACGTGACGCTAGTAACACGTCATTGACTTCTAGAAATATCCTGTTCCTTCATGGATGCTCTAGCGTTTACTAAATATGTGTTAGTCTTGTATATATAAGACGGTCACAAAGTGACGGAACAATGGGTAATTGAACTGAGTATTGTTGAGTCGAGCGTCGTGAGACGTTCGTTGAGAATCAT